TTCATTCTTTTTTTAAAATTCTGTTCCACAGCACTGATTTCCAGCGTTCTGTCTTCCAGCTTACATATCCATTTTTCTGCCTCATTTACTCTGCTGTTGATTCCATCTAGCATATTTTTCATTTCAGTTATTGTGTTGTTCATCTCTGTTTGTTTGTTCTTTAGATCTTCTAGCTCTTTGTTAAACATTTCCTGTATCTTCTCAGTCTGTGCCTCCATTCTTTTTCTGAGATCTTGGATCATCTTTACTATCATTATTCTGAATTCTTTTTCGTGTAGATTGCCTATCTCCATTTCACTTAGTTGTTCTTCTGGGGTTTTATCTTCTTCCTTCGTCTGGGACATAGTCATCTGCCATCTCATTTTTTCTACCTTTCTGTGATCGTGGTTTCCATTTCACCAGCTGCAAGGCTGTAGTTCTTGTTGCTTCTGCTGTCTGCCCCCTGGTGGATGAGACTGGTCTAAGAGGCTTGTGCAGGCTTCCTGGTGGGGGGAACTGGTTCCTGCCCACTGGTGAGTTGAGCTGGGTATTGTCCCTCTGGTGGGCAGGGCCGTGTCAAGGGGGCTGTTTAGCAGGCAGCTGTGGGCTCAGGAAGACTTTAGCCAGCCTGTCTTCTGATGGGTGGGGCTGTGTTACCACCCTGTTGGTTGTTTGGCCTGAGGAGTCCCAGCACTGGCGCCTACAGGCTGTTGGGTGGCTCCAGGTCTTGGTGAGAAAATGGCAGCCTCCAGGAGGACTCATGCCAGTGAGTACTCCCTAGAACCACTGCCACCAGTGTCCTTGTCCCCACAGTGATTCATAGCCAACCCCTGCCTCCCCAGGAGACTCTCCAAGACCAGCAGGTAGGTCTGGCCCAGGCTCCTATGAGGTCACTGCTTTTTTCCCTGGGCACTGGTGTGCACGAGACCTTGTGTGTGCCCTCCAAGAGTAGAGTTCCTCCTTCCCCCAGTCCTGTGGAATTCCTGCAATCCATCCCCACTGGCCTTCAAAGCCAGATGCTCTGGGGGCTTCTCCTCTCAATGCCAGACCCCCAGGATAGGAAGCCTGATGTGGGGCTCAGAACTTTCACCCCTGTGGGAGAACATCTGCGATATAATTATTTTCCAGTTTGTGGGTTACCTACCCAGCAGATATGGGATTTGATTTTATTGCGATTGAGCCCCTTCTAATGTCTTCTTGTGGCTTCTCCTTTGTTTTTGGATGTAGGATATCTTTTTTGGTAGGTTGTAGTGTTTTTTTTTTTGATGGCTGTTCACCAGTTAGTTGTGGTTTTGGTGTTTTCTTGATACAGGGTGAGCTCAGGTCCTTCTATCTGCCATCTTGTCTCAGGGTCCTGCTTTATATCAGAATCATATTCAGTTTCTTCATATTTCATGTCTAATTAGTTTATCTACAATTAATAATTGAATATAGAATTAATATCTTGTGATTGGGAATGACCGTAGACTTTGCAGACTGATGCCAGTTTGAAGAATGTTTGTTTTCAGTCTGCAATGAGATGAGAATAGTAAATGAAAGTACATGCTTAAAAACTTTTATAGCAATTTGACATTGTCATGGTATCCAAGTGCATGATTTTTGTATTTTTCAGAGATATCACTTTCCACATTAGAAATATACATATAATTTTTTACCATAGATTTTTCTGAGAAGCATTGATATAAACCAGTAATATTCAAACATTTTAAAAGATTTAAAGCCATTAAACAGTTGAATCAAACCAAACCTTATGTGGAAGCCCAATCTATAAAATACATGAAAGTAAAGCTCTCTTTAGAACTTGTGTCTGGGTCTGAGAGCCCCCAAACTCACACAATGGCTCCCTCATTGCCACCATGGACCCTTTAGTGCTTGTCAGAGCACAGTTTGAAACCCACTGGTTTATACAGACCAACACATTTCTTTACTGCTAGTAAAATTAAGGCTTAATGTATATCTCATGACAGAAAATAGGTAATTTTTCCTAATGTATAAATATATCATAAAAGAGACTAAAAAGGGCTTCCCTGGTGGCACAGTGGTTGAGAGTCTGCCTGCTGATGCAGGAGACACGGGTTCGTGCCCCGGTCCAGGAAGATCCCACATGCCGCAGAGCGGCTGGGCCCATGAGCCATGGCCGCTGAGCCTGCGTGTCCGGAGACTGTGTTCTGCAGTGGGAGAGGCCACAACAGTGAGGGGCCAGCGTAATGCAAAAAAAAAAGAGAGAGACTAAAGAAACCCAAAACCTCTAGATTTAAGATCAACACCTAGAATTTAGAGTATTTGCCTTTGTGACTTTTGTGTCTGATATAAACTTTTGTTTATCATCTTTGTGCAGTCTTATGACCTTTGGAATGGCTCGCCCCACTGGCAGCCACAGGCCTCTGCCTCAGTTTCACTTTATTCTGTTGATTTGTTGGATGTGACTTCTAGGGCCTTGAAAAGTGAATTTTGTATTTCTATTTGTATTTTACAGATAGTATTAAAATACTATCTGTATTTTAAATAAATATATCCCAAATACAGCCTTCAAGTTGGGTAAAAGTTCTCGTAAGGTTACTCATGGAAAGGTAATATTTTTACGTGGATACCATAGATCTGCTTATTTCATTCAGCTGTGTGAAATACTCCAGTGGCTTCAAATTGCTGTTAAGATAAAGACCAATAATTAGAGAAGTGCAAATCAAAATTATAATGAGGTACCACCTCACACTGGTCAGAATGGCCATCATCAAAAGGTCTAAAAATAACAAATTCTGGAGAGGCTGTGGAGAAAAGGGAACCCTCTTACACTGTTGGTGGAACTGTAAATTGGTGCAGCCACTGTGGAAAACAGTGTGGAGATTCCTCAGAAAACTTAAAATAGAGTTACTATATGATCTAGCAATCCCATTTCTGGGTATATATCCAAACAAAACTATAATTTGAAAAGATACATGCACCCCAGCGTTCATAGCAGCACTACTTACAGTAGCCAACGCACAGAAGCAACCTAAATGTCCATCGACAGATGAATGGATAAAGAAGATGTGGTGTGTGTGTACACACACACACACACACACACACACACACACACACACACACAATGGAATACTATTCAGCCATAAAAAGGAATGAAATAATGCCATTTGCAGCAATGTGGATCAACCTAGAGATTATCATTCTAAATGAAGAAGTCAGAAAGACAAATATCACACAATATCACTTATATGTGGAATCTAAAATATGACTCAAGTGAACTTATTTATGAAAGAGACTCACAGACATAGAGGACAGACTTGTGGTTGCCAATGCAGAGGAGGGATAGGGGAGGGATGGATTGGGGGTCTGGGATTAGCAGATGCAAACTATTATATATAGAATGGATAAACAACAAGGTCCTACTGTATAGCACAGGAGACTATATTCAGTATCCTGTAATAAACCATAATGGAAAAGAATATATATATATGTGTGTGTGTGTATATATATGTATATACATATATATAACTGAGTCACCTTGCTGTGCACCAGAAACCAAGATTTTGTGTATCAACTGCAGTTCAATAATAATAATAAAAAAAGACCAATTACTATTCTTAATCTTATCTCTGCCTCTTAATCTTATCTGGCTACCTCTGTAGCCAGATATCCCACCTATTTCCCCCCCTGCCACCTACTCTT